CGCAAAGAGTAACAAATAAAACTGTTGATATTGTACTGAAAACAGAACTACTGTCCTAAGCTTCTCTAAATATATAAGATGGTAAAAAATACGGAAAGTGAAAGTATGGTACTTGATTTTTAGATTATACACACACATATACATGCTTTCATAACTAACAGATAAGGCATTTAAAAACAAAAGAAGGCAGTAATTTTAAAATTCACTATTCCAATCCATTACAAAAATAAAGATAATTTAATGCATTTTAATGCAAACTGTGGCATTTTAACTTCCCTCCAATTTTATGAGTTTCTTTCCTATCTTATATGCCATTTTCTCATATCTTCCAAAGCACTCTCTTCTATAAAAACCTTCTAAGAAACACCCAGAATTTTTTTCAACAAGGATCCAGAAAAGTTATGACTAAGAACAAGAAAATTAATCTAGTTGGCTTAATAGTGCATAAAATGTCATCACTTCATTTAACAAAATGAGTTCTACAGTTGTGTAATCATGCATTATGAGTCCATTAAGCTGTAAAGGACATGACTTTCGCTATAGTTTAGATAAACTTTGAAGTGTAAAAAATAATCTTTTTTTTTTTAAAAAAAAGTGGAGGCAATGTTAAAGAACCATTTCAAAGTCTAAGGCATATTTTTAAAGAATTTTAAACCGGGATAAAGAATAAAATAAAGAGTAAAATAAAATTGATGGCATCACCAACATTGAGCATTATCTTTTATTTTTCTAATAACTTCCAGCAAGTATGTCAGTATTTCAGTTTTTTGAATGGCTTTTAAAAGATTTTTATTGGTACATTTTAGGTATCCAATATGACATTCATCATTGGAGATGTGTGCCTTTACGTAATATAGCTTGATTCTTATTTTTTCCCCATTCCCTGGCCCTTCTTTCAACCCCTCCACCCCTCCCTATTTACAAATGCATTGTTTTCATTTGATCATGTTAATTCTATTTCCCTCTTTGCTTTCCCTTCACTTCCCCTTTGCGTCTTTTCTTCCTATTTCACATTATCATACATTTTTATCCTTATTTACACTTTCAGTTTCTCATACCAGAGAAACTATTCGGTATTCACACGTCTGTCCTATTTATTTCATTGAAGAGTATCGCCTCAATGTGCATCCATTTAGCTATAAATGCCTCTGATTTCTCATTGTTTATGGCTGCGTAATACTCCATTTGATTAAAAAAAAACCCACATATTCTTTATCCAGTCTCCAGTTGATGGGTAATTGGGCTGTTTCCGAGTTTTAGCTATTACAAACTGTGCTGCTATGAACATGGGTGCACATATATATCGCTGTGGTACAATTCTTGTAATTCTTCTTGGAAGATACCCAGCAGAGAAATAACTGAGTCAAATGGGACCTCTAGTCCTAGTTTTTTGAGATATCTCCATACCGATTTACACAGTGGTTGCATCAGTCTACACTGCCACAAGCAGTTGAGCAGGGTTTCTTTTTCCCCACAACCCCGCCAGCATTTGTTATTGGTTGATTTCTTGATATCAGCCATTCTTTTTGTGGTGAGGTAGAATCTCAGGTTTGTTTTCATTTGCAGAGTCAAATGACCAGTGATGTGGAACATTTTTCATATATTTATTTGCTATTTCTGTTCTTTGAGAAATGTGTGTTCATTTCAGATGCCCATTATTGCATTGGAACTTTAAATTTGGGAGGTCTTATTTTTGTAAGTTCTGTATACATTCTAGATAGTAGACCTTTGTCTGAGGAAGAGCTGGTGAAAATTTTTTCCCACATTGTGGGTTGTGTCTTCACATTGTTGGTGGTTTCTCTTGCTGTGCAGAGGCTTTTTAGTAAGAAGAGATTCCACTTTATGCTAGTTCATGTGCAACTGAGCTTTTGTTCATGAAATCTTTTCCTATGCCAGTGTCTTCAAAAGTTCTACGTAACCTCTCTTCCAGCCGGTTTAGTGTTTGTGGTTGTTTTGTTTTGTTTTGTTTTTTTGAGACAGGGTCTCACTGTATAGTTGAGACTGACCTGGAACTCACTATATAGCCCAGGCTGATCTTGAACTCACAGCAATTCTCCTGCCTCAGCCTCCAGAGTGCTGGGATTACAGGCATGCGCCACCATGTCCGGCTAGTGTTTGTGTTGTAATATTTAGATCTTTAACCCATTTGTATTTTAGTTTTGTGCATGGTGAGAGATATAGGTCTAGTTATAGTCTTTGGCAAGTTGAAACCCAATTTTTCCAGCACCATTTATTAAAGAGGGCATCTTTCCTCCAATGAGGGTGCTTGGCTCTTTTGTCAAAGATAAGGTGGCTGAGTATTTCTGGAGTTGTTTCTTCATCGTCTCATCTGTTCCACTGGTCCTCAGGTCTGTTTCTTTGCCAGTACCTTGCTGTTTTTATCACAGTAGCTTTGTAGTATAGTCTCAAGTTGGTGATTGTGATACTCTCTCACTTGTCTTTATTGCCTAGCTTTTGCCATTCTAGGTCTTTTCTTGTTTCAAATGAATTTTTGGATTGTTTTCTGAAGTTTTGTGAAGTATGCTGTTGGAATTTCAATTGTGATTGCATTGAATCTATAGTAGCTTTTGAAGTGTGGCTGTTTTCACTATGTTTGTTCTTCCTACCCAGGAGCAAAGAATGTCTTTCCATTTTCGGATATCATCTTCGATCTTTTTTTTGTTTTGTTTTGGGTTTTTTTTTTTTGAGTGCTATATTTTTCAGAGTAGAGGTCTTTGATTTCTTTGTTAGATTGATTCCTAGGTATTTCAATTTTTTGGATGTTATTGTGAAAGGAATTTTTTGCCCCATTTCTCTCTTGGTGAGTCTGTTGTGTACAGGAAAGCTATTGATTTTTCTGTGTTGATCTTGTATCCAGCTACTCTGCTGAATCTGTCAGTTAAGCCTAGAAGTCTCTTGGCAGAGTGTTTTGGGTTTTCTATGTGTATCACATCATCAGCAAATAGTTACAGTTTGACCTCTTCATTTCCTATCTTTATTCCTTTTACTTCTTTCACTTGTCTAATTGCTGTGGCTAATGTTTCTAAAACTATATTGAACAGGACATTGACAGTAGACATTCTGTCTTGTTCCTGATTTTAGTGTGAAGAATTTCAGTTTTTGAGCATTTAATATGATATTAGCTGGTGACTTTTATCAGTTTGAGGTAGAGACCATATATCCCAATTTTTTGTAAGGTTTTTTAACATAAATGTATGTTGAATTTTGTCAAATTTTTTTTTTTGGCATCTTATTTGATGATGATATGGTTTTTGTCCTTGGCTCTATTAATTTAGTTTATTACATTTATTGTTTTGAGTATGTAGAACCATCCCTACATCCCTGGGATGAATCCTACTTTGGCAGAGTGTATGATGATCTGCTGCATTCTATTTGCCAGTATCTTACTACAGATTTTTGCATCTATGTTTATTAGTGAGATTGGCTGGTAGTTGACTTTTTCAGTTGGTGTTTCTCTGCTTTTGGAATCAAGGTGGTGCTTACTTCCAGGATTTAATTTGGAAATATTGCTTCCCTTTTAATTTCATAGAAGAATTTAAATAGGGCTGGGAATTTAGCTCAGTGTTTCTGCTGCGTGCCTTGCAAGCGCAAGGACCCGAGTTCAATCCCCTGTACCAAAACAAAAAAAAGAAGAAGAAGAATTTAAACAGTTGTGGTAATAGTTCTTCTTTAAATGTCTTGTAGAATTCAGCAGTGAAACCATCAGCACCCAAGCTTTATTTAGTTGTTTTTTCTTTTCTTTTTTTGCTACTGGGAATTGAACTCAGGACCTTGTGCTTTCGAGGCACACGGTGCCACCATTGAGCTAAATCTCTGGCCCAGTTGGTAAGTTTTTAATTACGTTTTGAATTTAATTGAGTGATATTCAATTTTTAGGTCTTTGTTCAACTTTGATGATTCATGTGTTGCTAGGAATCCATTTCTTATGTGTTTTGTACCTTATTTGCATATAGGTTCTCAATGTAGGTATTGATGATCCTCTGGATTTCTGTTGGGTCCACTGTAAGTCCACCCTTTACATTCCTAATTGCGTAGATTTGGGCCTTTTCTTTCTTTCTATCTTTTTTTTTTTTTGGTTTTGGTTTTGTTAGTTTTGGAGATATAATTCCTTACCTTCCACTTGCAAGGCAGGTAGAGGTGCTACTGAGCTCAGGGTTTTCGTTCCTTTTTTTGATATGTGAGTATTCAATGCTATGAATTTCCCTTGTAAGAATGATTTCATTGTGTTCCATATATTCTGATATGTTGTACTGGCATTGTCATTTAATTGTAGAAACTTTCTGGTTTTTTCTTTAATTTGCTTTGTGACCCGTTTGTTATTGAATGGCATTTTTTTCACCAACAATAATAATATAGTAGCTGTAAAATATATGTATATACATCTTTTGATTTTAGAGTGTACTAATCTGATTCTTAATATTCTGCTTCTAAACATGAACCCAAAACCAAAACCTTTAATGGGAATGTGTCCTCAGGAACATCAGAAAAATAAAAACGTGATTCGGATTTAGGTCAGATGAAGCATGACTGAAAAATTGCATTTGTTTGGACATTTTTAATAACCATACCTCTGTTCAACATTGTCAATACCAAGAACCCTACTTTCCTAAACATATAATTGTAGTTGTGCTCTGCTGTGAGTTTGGCTTTGACTCAAAATTAACTACAACTATGGCAGTCCAGAAATATTTTTAAAGTTTTATGTATAATTTTATAGTTTAATACACAAAAAAGTATAGAGAAAAAAATGTCTGTCCTTGCTACTACTGAATTTTTTAACAGAATGAAAGGAAGAAATAAGAGCTATGAATAGCTTTTAAAAGCAATTTTAAGTTTCCTTTTCTCCAAAATATCTTGAGTTTCAAAATATTGGCCTAGATTCAGAATAAAAAATACATTTATAATGTTTTAATGTATTTTTCAAATATTTATATAATTTTACATAACTAATGCATGGTTAAATTTGAAATGACATTTCTTCTTGTTTTCTCTTTCAACAGTTAAAAGATGTTGACACTCGGAAAATTATAAAAGCAATGCTTTCTTATGTATGGCCCCAAGACAGGCCAGATCTACGAGCTAGAGTTGCTATTTCCTTGGGATTTTTGGGTGGTGCAAAGGTAAGAATAGGAGAAATCATACATTGTTGTCTCATTGTTTTCTCTTAATATATAACAATTGTACTATAGTATAAGTAATACTGACATTTTCTAGTTATGAACCTTGAACTAATATAAGCCAATTTTGGGAGAACATGGCCAACTTTGAAGACTCATTTATTTATGTCATTATTTTATGCTGTGAGTAGAAATTACTGTATATGGTAATATCTGTCCTATCTCTTGGTCAGATGTCTAATTTCTTCAATTTAGTAGAATTTGCTCCTAACTCCAGTATAAAAGAGAAGAACATTGGTTATAACACATAAGGGGCTTTATAAAAGACATTCCTCAGTCTTGGTGACTTGGTGACTCTTTTTTTTTTAATTGAATTTATTGGTACATTCTAGGTAGACAGTACAGTTACATTCATTAATGGGATCTTGTACCTTTACATGCCAGGTCCTAGTTCTCATTTTTTCCCCTTGTCCCCACCCTCCCTTCACCCCCTACTCCCCTCCCCACCTTCAAACACTTTAATTCCATTTTTATATTTTCTAATATTTTTTTCCTTTTCCCTTATTCCCCTTTCCCTATCCTTCTCACTGTCACTACACCTTTGGTCCTTTTCTTCCTATTTCACATTGCTAATTGTCCCATTAGGATCTTGAGTACTATTTTAGTTTTTCACACCAGAGAAACTATTCGGTATTTGCATATGTGTAACTTATTTATTTCACTTCGGAGTATATCCTCAAAATGTACCCATTTACCTATGAATGAATCTACTTTCTCATTCTTTATGGCTGAGTAGTATTCCATTTTATAGAAAAACCACATCTTTATCCAGTTTCCAACTGATGGGTCTTGGTGACTCTTAATAGGTATTTTCTAGTAAGTTTGGTTACCTGTTCCCAGTAAATTAAAAAGATGTTAAAGACATTTCAGGCCAATTGATAACCATAAGTGGTAAATAAAAGCTTAATATCAAGGCAAAAAAAAAGAAAAACTGAAAATAAAAGCTATAAAAGCTGAATACATTCAGAAAAAGGTCACTCTACATTTTAGCACTTTCTTCAGTTTTTCATTGTCCTACAACATGAAATTAAAATGATGTGTCTGAATTTTTAAGACTTTTATTTTCAGTTTACTTAAAGTTCAAAGTCAGGAAAGTATACATCTAAAGATACAATGTGCGCCAGGCGTGGTGGCACACACCTGTAATCCCAGCACTTGGGAGGCTGAGGCAGGAGGATCTCTGTGAATTCAAGACCAGCCTGGGCTACATAGTGAGTTCCAGGTCAGTCTCGACTACATAGTGAGACCCTGTCTCAAAAAAAACTAAAAACTTAAAAAAAAAAAAGAAGAAGAAAGAAAGATACAATGTGTTGTGATGATGATAACATAGTGACGTAGTCTCTGGAATCACACCGCCTAGTTTCTGCCACTAACAAGTCTTGTAACCTTGGGCAAGTTACTTAGTCTCCATGCCTCAGTAGTAAAATTGGTATGTGATAATAACAATTAACGTATAAAAGGCTTAGGATAGTACCTGACAGGTTGTAAAACCTAAGTGTTAAAAATAAAAATAGATTTAGATTTCTAAGTATATGGTTAAAAGTGTTCGCTTAAATATAAATGAAGTTTGTCTATACTTTGGTTATTCCTCTTTAAAGATGAATAGTTTGTTTTCAAACCCAGGTCTCAACACTTCCCATGTCATGTATGTTCCCTTTTATCACTCATTCTTTTTCCCACCTAAGAATATATTGAGAACTCATACAAAGTACTGTTTGGGGCACTGGAGGGTATTGAAATATGAATAAAGCAAATTTCTTCCCTCCAAGTAAGACAAGCTTTAGTCTTATTACCATAATACAAAGTAAGTCACAAATGACTTGAAGAAGTACCAGCCAGAGTTAGGGGTGTGGCTCAGTGTCTGAGCACTTGCCTAGCATGAACAAGGTCCTAGTTCCGTACCAGTACTGTTCACTCCCCACTCCGAAGTGCCTACTGTGTTCAGGTATTTCAGAGAAAAAAGAGGAACCATCACAAAAGGTTTGGCAGGGAAGATGACATCTGAGATAAGCATCAATTAATGCGTAGGATTGTTATTGATGGAGTAATTTGAATCGTGGCCTAGAGAAAGCATATGCATAGTATGCCTGAAGAAGTGAATAGTTCATCTTGGCCTCAGTGAAGGGAAAATTTTTCAGAAAAATTGGAAGCAAGCTTGGAAAGATAGAGTTCCTAATGTGAAATATTTTAATTGTAAAAAGTTTATTATTTGGGAAACAGGAATCTCTACTTTGAGTTCAAAACTAGTAAGTTTTGAGCTCTGCTTTACGCAGTTAATCTGGCTCTGTTGTAGAAGATGGGTTAAAGTAGTGAAGGACCTGTTATACAAATGCCATTCATTGCATTCAGCACATATTTACTAAGTGATTATGAGGCCAGTTTAATAGCTTAGATAAGCAGTAATATCAGTTTGTACCAGAGTATAGGTATAAAACATGGAGGGAAAGGATGCTAGAAATGTGTGGTTAGTCTGTGAGACTTGTAGCAACTGATTGTTTATTAGAAGTGTATTTTTAAAAAGCAACTGTACTATATCCCTAAAATGTACCAATAAACTCAATTAAAGCTGAAAAAAAAAAGCAAATCCAGAGGTCTTGTGTGGGGAATGTAAATCTTAGTTTCGGAAATGCTAAGTTTAAGATACTAATAGAATATCTAGATAGGGCAATTCAGCTGGTTATATAAAATGCAATATAAGTTCAGGAAGAACCACAGAGTTAGACAGATTAAGAGTGATAGATGTGGGGTTGGGGATTTAGCTCAATGGTGCTACCGCGTGCCTTGCAAGCACAAGGACCTGAGTTCTATCCCTGGTACAAAAAAAAGAGTTGTTAGATGGGTCCAAGGGATGTAGCTCAGCGGCACAGCTCCTGCCTGGGAAGTGCAGGGTCCTGAGTTCGATACCTAGTACCAAAAGAAAACAACAACAAAAAGAGGTGATAGATGAAGGTGGGGTTAGTGGCCTATGCCAGTAATGTAATCCTGGCACACCGGGAGGCTTAGGCAAAAGGATTTCGAGTTTGAGCCCAGCCTGGACAACTTAGAAATTTAGTGAGCTCCATTCTCAAAAAAAATTAAATAGGAAAAGAATGACTGGTGATGTAGCTCAGTTTGAAAGCCCTGCATTCGATCGCCAATACTGTAAAAAAAAGGATAATTGAAGCAATGCAGATTAGTGAGTTCACCAAGCAAAAGAGCTAGGACAGAACCTTTGTTCTGCACAGAAGCAAAAGAAACAATAAAAGAAAAAAGAGAAGGAATATTTAAATGATGATTATTTTCTAAAATCAATGACAACATCAAACCGCAGCAGCAGGAATCTCAGAGAAGTTAAAAAAAAATTAACTCTACTTGTTGCTATATCATGTTCAAACTGCAAAAAAATCTCAGCGAAGTATCTAGGAATCAACCTAAAAAAAGAAGCAAAAGACCTCTACACTGAAAACTACAGCACTCTGAAAAAAGAGATCAAAGAGGATATAAGAAAATGGAAAGATATCTCCTGCTCCTGGGTAGGAAGAATCAACATAGTGAAAATGGCCATACTACCAAAACTGCTATACAGATTTAATGCATTGCCAATTGAAATCCCAACACTATACTTCACAAAACTAGAAAGAAGAATCCATAGAACTAGAAAAAAGAATCCAAAAATTCATTTGGAAGCATAACAGACCTAGAATAGCAAAAGCCATCCTAGGCAACAGACACATGGCAGCGGGTATAACAATTCCCAATTTGAAAGTATGCTACAAAGCCAGTGTGATAAAAACAGCATGGTACTGGCAAAGAAACAGACCTGAGGATCAGTGGAACAGACTGGAAGACACAAAAACAACTCCAGATGCACTGAGCTACCTCATCTTTGACAAAGGATCTGACCATCACCACTGGAGGAAGGATGGCCTCTTTAATAAACGGTGTTGGAAAAACTGGATCTCACCTTGACAAAGATTAAAACTAGACCCTATCTTTCACCATGCAATAAATTAAAATCCAAGTGGATTAAAGCTCTAAATATTAAAAAAGAGTCACTAAATTTGCTGGAAGATAAGTTAGGCAGAACTCTGGAAGACATTGGCATAGGAAAAGACTTTATGAACAAATCCTCAGTAGCATGGGAACTAGCAGAAAGTATCTACAACTGGGATCTCATCTTATTAAAAAGCTTCTGCACTGCAAAAGAAACCATCAACAGAACTAAGAGATAACCTACAATGTGGGAAAAATTTTACCAGCTGCTCCTCAGACAAAGGACTATTATCTAGAATATATAAAGAACTCAAAACAATCAGCCCCCGCCAATTGAAAGATGGGCATCTGAAATGAACAGACATTTCTCAGACAAAGAAGTAAAAGCAGCAGGTAAATATATGAAAAAATGCTCCACATAAATGGTCATTTGAGAGATGCACATGAAAACAGCATTGAGATTCCACTTTACCCCACAAAGAATGGCTGCTATCAAGAAATCACACAATAACAAATGTTGGCGGGGTTGTGGGGAGAAAGGAACCCTTCTCCATTGTTGGTGGGAGTGCAGACTGGTACAACCACGATGGAAATCAATATGGAGATACCTCAAAGAGCTAGGACTAGAAGTTCCATTTAACCCAGCCATAGCTCTGCTGGGTATCTTTCCAGAAGAACTAAAAGAATCATATCACAGTGACATATGCACACCTATGTTTATAGTGGCACGTTTTGTAATAGCTAAAACTTCGAAACAGCCCATTTGCCCATCAGTTGGAGCCTGGATAAAGAAGATGTGGTTTTTCTATAAAATGGAGTACTACTCAGGCATAAAGAGTGAGAAATTAGAGTCATTCATAGGAAAATGGTTACATTTTGAGGATATACTCATAAGTGAAATAAATAAGTCACACATGTGTAAATACCAAATAGTTTCTCTGGTGTGGAAAACTATAATAGTACTCAAGATC